GACCCGAAAAACCCACGTGATTGCTGTCACCAATAACGGCATTAGCAGAAGCAATATGTCCCGATGAAGTCACCGGATTCGCACGAGCTGGTTCTGTTCGTTGCTGTGAGGACGAAGCAGAGACATGCCGAGTATCTGCAGCAGGAGAACTCAATACCTGAGACGAAGACGGAAGCTTTCCACACGGATGATCTTTCCACCAAGTGGGATACCCGATCTTGCGAAAACAATTTTCAGTTAGGTGATCCATTCGGCCACAAAGGATGCAAAGAGCGTTGGGATCGCGAAGCTCAGATTGCTGTTGAGGTCGAGGAGTCATCTGAATAGCAAAACTAGATCCATCATGTCGTTCCTCAATCAGACGACCAGTGCGTTTGGAGTCTTCATCTTGCGTCACAACTTGATAAGCTTCGTCCAAAGATGGTAACAAATCGCGAGATAAGAGTGAGGACTTCACAGCTGCAAACATAGACTCATCAAGACCCATTAAAAACTGATGAAGCTTGTCTTCTTCGCGTTCTCGAGCTATCTCTTCAGCATTTTTGGCACGCTGAAAATCCGCTAAGCTGGTCCACAGTTTCTGAAGCTTACCGTAATACGCTTCCACGGCCAAGCCTTTCTGATGGCAGGTAGTGAGTTCCGCCTTTAAGCGTTGAACCCGTTGGCCATTTTTGACAGAGATATGCTTTTGTATGTGCGTCCATAAATCAGACGCGATTTTGTGGTGAGAAAGGGAACTGCTAAGTTTGGGAGCAGTAGTGAGACTGATCCAGGAAACAACCATAGCATTGTTCGCCCACTAGTCTTAGAGATTTTCAGAATCCTCAGCAGGTTGTGGGATACTGCCATCAACAAAACTAAATTTCTTCTGTGCGCGTAACGCAAGTCCAAGACGCGAAGCCCATTCATCGTAATTATGAACTCGGAGCTGTGGCTGTGAGATGACAAATCCAGGATTATCTCCTGAGGAGAGATCATAAGGATCGATCCAGCGACGTGCTGTCTCAGATCGATATTTAGACACCGAATCAGAGGTGCTTTTTCTGACTTTGATGTTGTCGTCAGATGTCATCTTCAAATAGAGTAGTGTTTCGACAGAATGATCAAAAAACTAAAGGTCAAAGAAGAAGAAGAAAACAAAGAGATCGACAGCAGAGTTCGATAAGAGGTAGAGAATCAAAAAACCGAGAATAGGTTATTGCTCTGATACCATGTCAAGAAACCTAGTTTAGTGTAAATGTTTTCTTATTCAATCTGATGTTAAGGCAAAACCTTGTATACATAGCGATTAACCTAGTTACAAAGTTATAAATTACAAACTATACACTCTTAGATAGTTAATTGCATCTTTAGTCCACATATATCCCAATAAGAGCAAAAAAAAAAAAAAATTGGGACCCGTTATTAATTTTAAGAGTAAAATTGTTATATTTTGAGTCTTATTTGCATTAAAAATTTGAAAGTTTGGACACAATGTAAAAGAAAAATCGAAAATATGCTCTGTTTTTATGTTAAATTTTAATTATTTGGGCCTGATTAAAAGTTTTTTTTAAAAAAACAGACATTTAAAAAAAATATTATTAAAATTATTTCTAAACACCTAGACCGTCACACTTCTATTCCACCCATTTGGGCCAGGCCTAAAGAGTTGAGAGGTCTGCATCGGTTGTTGGACCGATGCGGGAATGTGTCATAAGAAGTGGAGAAGTGAGACCCGACTAATAACACTCGTTTTTACATTTTTTGGACAGGATCTTAAGATTTTTGTAGGTGTTTTCACTTGGTGTAAATTTCTACGTTTTGGAGTTTTAAATTCCTTTTCACGTAAATTGAGCAAAAGAAGCAAAAAGTGGAACAAAAGTCATGCTTTTGGTTTGATTCAAATTTTCAGAAGTTTTAACCTCAAAAGGAGTCATTTACTCCGTCTGATTGACCTCAAATTTGGACATTATATAGAAAATTAACTATCTTTCATATGCAAGTGATTTAAAGATAATCTCTCGGCTCAGTCTCAAGTTACATAAGTTCACTAAATCCCCGCTATGTTGTCGAACAGAAGGCGAAGTGCAGAGAAAACGCCATTCACCACAACATGGAGGCTCATGAGTGCAATCGAAGACTATTCACCACAACCTTAAGCTTCATCCCTGCAGCCAACACCAGCTCGCCCCGTAAGAAGCCCAACTCAAAACCCACTCTGAATCCGTCACTTTTTTCACCAAAGAAAAACCCTAGATGCCTAAAGAAGCTGCTACAGACCATATATAATCTTGTTTTAGGGCATCATCACTTCTTCAAGAGTTTGAATTAATTGTTGATGTGATCATGGACCCAGGGTCGAGAGAGGAGGGTCCAGAGGCAACATTGGTCGTACTGAATGGGCCGATGATGCAGTCAAGGACCCGGAAGCTTGCTGAAGCTGTTCGGAGCTTACTAAGTGGAATCAGGATCAGTTCGGATGAACTTACACCCAATACCCTTACCGTGCTCATGTACCATGGTCTCTACTAACTTTGGCCGTGGTGTAAGACTTAATACTCTTTTTCCTTACACTCAGGTTTGTCCCAATGGATTTACCGGATGAAGTTTTAATGAGGTTAAGGCTTACACCCACACTCACGATCCAAGGTTTAGCGAGGCTTGGTTCAGAAGTTCAAGAGTCAAACTCGGCGAAGCAGTCCAAGAGTCAGTCAAAGCCAGCCGAAGAGTCATCCAACATTTTCTTTATTTTTAGTCCAAGTTATTTATTTTTCTTTGTATTTCCCGAGTATGACCTTTTGTCTACTCTTTTGCCTATATATATGGCTTTGTACGCAGATTTTTGATCATTCATTATTTTCTTAATAAAATTTCAGAGATTTCTATCTCCTTTGTCCCTTGCAGACTTTTTGATTTTTTGATGGTTAGCCTTCGAATCCTTTTCGGTTTATCAAGTGCAGCCCATAGCTCTTGACGCAGCCTTCATTCTTTTGATTATTCGAATTCGTTCAAGCAGTTTTAGGGCATAGGGATTTACGGGATCCTAGATCTCCGCCTTATCATCCTTTAACAACTGGTTCTTATTTTCATTGAAGCCACCCCGTTACTTCATTTTATTCTCTTGAGTTTAAGCTTAGGATTTTTGGGTATTTATACTCACGCCTCAACATCTCTCTCTCAGTAGAACATCTGAAGACAAGGATCCATTAACCTCCAGCCGATCAAGTGTGTGCAAGGATCTATTACTCTCTCTGTTTTCGCACTGTTATTAATTTAATGAAGATTTGTCTTTCCATAAATGAGTAATTTTATTGTTGGGTTTAAGGATTTTTGGACGGGGTTTAATTATGGATCTATCTTATTAGGTTGTTAGATTTACAATAAATTATACCTTTTTCGTTCTATTCTTGTTCGTAACTGCATTTGCTTGATTGATCACCTAGCTGCTGATCTAAGGAAGATACAACCACTTGCGTGCTGAATTTATTGACCTGAACTAAAATAGGTGAGCAATTGTATTGTGAGATACGAAAGCATACTTATAGGGCATTGTGAGTATTTTACAAACTTAATTTTATTCTTGATATTTTTTTTTTCTGCGTAGTAAGCAACGAACGTAGACTTGCTAAGTTGTTTAGATCTAGGTATTTAGATCTAGGTATTCAGCTCTATGTGACATGTGAGTAAGAACATAGTTGACAAAGTCGCATTGAATCCTAACTAATGCTTGTTTGATTTGATTTATGAATGCTGGAGATCGAATTCCCTCTTGTCCAGCGTTTTTAATCTTGAAGTTTACATCGTTTATTTTCTGCTTTGCTTACTTGTTTTTTATTTCTGCTTAATTGTTGGTATCATCATCATGTAACTCATGTTCGTATTTAAAAAGCTTATGTTTACATCAAACTCGTAAAATTAATCTCGTAAACAAGGAGGAAATCAAATCATTCAGGAATTGGTTCTATAACTAATTGGTTCTATAACTAATTGGCTCTATATATAACTCATATCCATAACTAATTTGTTGTTCAAATAAGTAAAGAGGCCAAATGAGAAACAAATAGCTTAATCCTCTTGAATTTGATTAGTTTAGATGCAAAATTAGGTTAGATTGAGATCCAAAGAGCACTAGTCCTTATGGGATCGATATCCTTAATATACTACTGTGATTGTTGAGTGCTTGCAGTTTTCTTAACGGAAAAACTTGTTTGGAGTTTTTCACCACATCACCGACCAATAATCCGCATGAGTCATCTGCATCAGTTATGTCAGTATAAGCAGAAGTGGAAACCTCAAGACATTACACACATCCCGGAGAAGTATAGAACATCTAGACCTGAACTATACAAGATTCTAGATTGCATCAAATGTATGATCATGGTCTACAATCACTATCTTTTTTTTTTTTATCAATACAATCTTTATCTTTCTGGCTGCAGAAAACTCAAATCACATCCACAGCTTCATGGTTCACTGATGTCCTTATTAACAGGCTATGAATCTCTAGAGACCGTATCTTGGTTTATTTACACTCCAAATGCGCAACTCAATTTCAGTAGCTGCTTCAAACTGAGCCGAGAAGCACGTAGAGCAATTTATACAGCAATCGTTTCATCGCATGTGTACATGCTTAACCGGAAGAGAAATGCCAGCTGAGTTCAGTCAGAGCTAAAGGAAATCATTTGACCATATCATATGTATGGAAAGTAAGAGTCATCTTTCTGCATCATCTAGGTTTGCCTCATGATTTCGCCTAACCATCAGACAAAGGAAGGAATGTTTCCGGAACTATTGTGTCATCGCATAGACAAAAAATCCATGTTTACTAATATCCCACATTCCGAACAGAACATCTATTTATATTTTAGTCTGAATTGCTTGACAAAGACGAATGTCTTGAAGTGGACAGCGAGATACTGTTTACATTCATCTGCGAATTCCACGATCATCCAATGTGGTATTTGGATCAATGCAGATGAAGCAGACAGAAGCATAGACGTATATTGGTATAGAGCGATGAATGAAGCTATGACTTTGAACCCAGAGAAGCATCTGAATGCACTGACAAAAATGACCATACATTTGGACTATACTGTGATAAGGTACACGAAGAAGTAGAAGAAGATAATTCAAATGCAACAAACATACAGATTGCTGGGATTGGATCATCCTTTACTTTGATCTGGAAGCTTGGTTTGGGGAAGAAGACAGCAACAGAAGCACCATCATAAGATGTTAACAGCAGCAGATGAGATAGATGATAAGGAGGCCATATGAATTAAACTGTCATTATATTTTATTTTTAATAGAAGTTCTGCCATTGTCATTCACACCAAATGGCCAATGATATATATACACTGCAAAATTTTAAAGATGAAAAAAGTAAACTAACACAACAAAAAAGCTTCATATGTCCTTCTGAAGCAAAAGAGATGAAAGATCATTACCACCACCACCATTATTCGTCGTCGGAGTTTGCTCATTCCGACGCCGTCGCTTCCCATAACCACTGTTAACCGCCACCTCTTGCCATCCTCCAAACGTCAAACTATTAGAGAATGTATCTTTCACACTCTCCATAACTTCCCTCTCTACAGGAGACAATCGCTCCAGTGAAATCACTGAAGCAGCTTCCTCAAATTCCCTCATACAAGCAATCTACACAAAACCAATACAAATCAATTTGGTGGGTTTCAAATATAGCATGTTTTGAAAGCAAGGATTCAGCCTTTTTCTTACCATATTCATGACTTGGGACTCGAGAAATGCTTCACGGTACAGTTTGGTGATACTGATCCGAGCATACCATTCCATGTAAGCTCCATCATCCACCACGTTGCCACCTCCAGGACTGTCCACGATGTGGTCTCCACGTTCAGCCCATTCCTCGCACGCTAGACTCATTGATGTGTCCAAGTCATCGAGCCTCCGGTTCTTTCTGTCACGGCGTTTCACTTTCTGAGGTATCGGCTGGCGTTTCCCAAACTGCCTCAAACACCTATCTGGAAAATGCAATTCTATCTTCTCGAAGCAAACAAGAGTCGTTTTCGATCTTCCTAGAATCAGCTTGGCTTTAATGTGTGGAGGGATCATGTTCTCAAACCTTTCAAACGGGCACCAAGTGATCTGCATTTTCAGTTTTTCACAATCATCAATGAACAAGAATAGCGATAACGTGCCATAAAACAAATTCTTAAGGGTGAATTGAATGGTTTACCTTGCTTGGATCAAGATCGTCAAGCTCTCTACGGTACTCAGATAGATCGGTTTTGGATCTACTTCCTTTACCTTTCCACAAAAGAGCAAGCGGGAAACATGCTTCGGATTTCTCTGGTCTACCAATATTCAAGTGAAAGTAACTCCAACACTAAATATAATGAAAAAAAAAACTATGTTACTTCCCCTGAAGACATCTAAATCTCAAAGGGACATAACACTAAAACTATAAAACTAAACAACATAGCAAACCTGTAGCAATGTCAAGCAGCCACAAATATTGCTCTGAGACTTAAGCGACGCGTTACCAAGCGCTCGGTAAAGACAAGCCAACGCAGCAGCTCCCCAAGCATATCTACCAGCTTGATCAAAATCCTCAAACAAAGGCAAATACTTCACAGAGACTTTATCACCATCAGTAGTAGCAAAAATGGTGCTACCTATAAGATACAAGAGATAAGCTCGAGTATGGCATTTGATAACATCAGGAGAAGCGTCTTCAGGACATTCAGAGAACGTTCTTTTAAGCCAATTAAGCTTAACCCTCGAGCAATTAACTTCTTTGTTCGCAGCAGATGGGAGTTTCCCTAAGAGTCTTCCACACATATCCATGGCAATCTCATCTCCTACTTTAGAACCAACAATGGGATCTCCATCAATCTCGAGACCAAGAACCAATGCTACTTCGTCTAGGGTTATAGTCATTTCTCCTAGAGGGAGATGAAAAGTGTTGGTTTCCCTCCTCCATCGCTCAACGAGAGCTGATATTAACGAATTGTTTAGACTCATTGGACCGATTTTGCGGAAGAATCCGAAACCGGCTTTTTCCACGAGCTTGATTTGTTCGTCAGTGAGTTTCCATTGATGAAGTAATGAAGTGTGTTCTTGGCAACGAAGCAGCCCTCTTTCCTAGGGATTTGAAGGAAAGAGAAGATATTTAATTCAAAATTCGAATCGAAAATCGAAAGATTTTAGAAAAAGAACAAAAAAACACCTGTCCTTCCCAAATAGCAGAAGAAACATGGAGATCTTGCTCGTAGAGGACAGATGGATCAACGGGTCCGACATCGATATCCATGGCGATTTGTAAGATCGAATTCAGCGAAAACTACGAATGCTTAAACGAATTTTCTCATACAAAACACGCAACCAATTTCTCATGAATTCATCATCTGTAACTAAAACCCAGATGAAGAACTAAAACCTAATTGGACTCGGGTTTTATCACCTGTACCAATTATTTTGGTTATCGTAAACCGATAGTATCTAGTAAAAAGGCCGATTAGTACGAGCGCGAGGCTCCAATGCGATAAAGTAAAAAAAGTAAGCCAAAATACCATAACTCTAATAAATAATTTAATTTTCAATTTTATTTAAGTTAAAAACTAGGAAAAGACCTTGATTATCCTCATACATCTACAATATTACCAATCCAACCATAATTTTATCCACTCATCCCACTCAAACCCAATAATCCGATCCAACTTACATTTATTCTTAAATAATTAAACAATAAACTCACAATTAAAACAAAAATATCTTCAAGTAACTTTCTTTATCGATGAATATCTTCTCTTTCTTCAGCCTTTTCTTCTTCTCCACCACTTGAATAATTTCCTTTCTCTGTCTTTTCTTCTCACAATTTCTCTTCTCAACCTCACTCACTTTCTTCTCTTCTCCCACTCCAGATTCTCCTCTCTCCCCTTTTTAGTTCACTATTGCTGGGAAATCAGCTGATTAATTCACCTCGGTGAAATCAAATAGAGATGCGAGCGATGGAGGCTGGCAAGAGTGACAAGGAAGAATCTCACGTTCTTGAGCTCAATATCATCTCGGCGCAAGGACTCAAAGAACCGACGGGATTGCAGACTTTGTCGATTCCTCCAACCAGCTCCGTACTTGGATTGATCGTATCAAAAAATTCTGATCCGTAGCACTCTTCGGGAAAACCCCGTCTCTCCGGACGCCGAGAGTCCCGTTCTACTGATCGGTGAGGATTCTGCTGCACTTGAATTAGGCAAACAGAAGCTTGCTTCCTAGCTTTATTTCGGATTGTCCTTGGAGTCGTTCTTTTCATACTCAACATAGTTTGCATCGATAATTCCACCAGTTTTGGAAAATGCATCGACACCGTCTCTAGCATCTCCGATTCACCGGAGGTATGCATAAATTACAGTAACTGAACCAATTTCAGTTTCCTTGAGGCAATTATTTGACTGTTACAACCACTCTTTCACAAGTTGCTATGTTAATGCTTATCCTCATATTTGCGACGGTACATAGTGGTTTAGCTAGTCTCAGGGATATAGGAGATAAACTCATAGTTCAATGAGCATTTTGTGTTCTATTTGCTGGTATCTCTGTTCCTTTAGCTATGAACACCATTGTGAGTACTCTCTTTCTCTGGAATTATGTCTCTATGTTAATGGGAAAAAAAAAGACTTGTCTGAGTTCTTCGAAATCAATGCAATGCCTTCTTCTACTTTCAGGTTTTCTTTATAAACCATAGATACGACAGGTCACAGTTATGGTAGCTTCATGGTATTCTAGGAGTCCATGAAGCTGTTTAGAAAGCTAATTTTGTATCCTTCAACCTACAATCTTCTGGAGGTAGCAGCTGTTGATAAACCAAAGATGCATCTGTGGGACACAGACATCATGAGAATCACTCGACACCCTCAGGTATTGAAACATTTCCTTAGTCAGCTATCATGAGAATCTTCTCTAGATGGTTGGATAAATCGTTTGGTGTTTGGCACATATACCCTGGATTGGAAACACAGTAACTGCATCAGCTTCTCTCGGTTTGATTGCACAACATTTGTTTGGGGCTTGGAATGAAGACATGAGATTAGGTAAAAGATACGGAGAAGCTTTTGAAGGCATCAAGAAGAGAACAAGTGTGGTTCCTTTTGCTGCCATTTTTGAAGGACGCCAAGTTTTGCTTGAGGATTACTACAAAAAATGTATGTAAGGTAGATTACCAGAGTTTGTAAGTTCTTTGGTGAGATGTTATCTTGGATGTTTTGTTTTATCTGTTATGAGTTCTTCACAAAACAAGAAGAAAAAAAAAAAGAAATCAGCCATTTTTTTTTATTTTTTGTTATATTCTATTTTATTCATCTTTTTATTCAAATGCAAAGATGGACAACTAAGTACAACTATGGACAACTAAATACAATTATAGTACAATTAATTAAAATTATGGATAACTAAGTACAACTATGTACAACTAAAACTAAGTACAATTTAGTACAAGTGGTATAACTATATAATTTAAAATTATAATTATCATTAATTAAAAAAAAGTATGGAGTGTTTCTTATAGTTTAAGACATGTTTGCATTTCTTAAATATATACTTTCTTTATATGTTTAATTTAATTTTAATTATAAATTTTTAAAAAATTAAGGTGTTCCATATAGTTGCTTACTTGTCTAGTTGTCTCTTGCTTATTCACATCCATGAAATTAGAGAACACGTGTCCTGAGTAAATAGACATGTGCGCAGTAAAAGTACCACGTGCGCCGTCAATTTTGTACATAGTTGTACCCAATTGTCCAATTGTCCAAAATTTTTCATAGTTGTCCTTTGAGGGTTTTAGCATTTTTCGAGTTGTCCCTTAATATAAATTATTATGTTGTAGTTGTCCACATGATTTTCGACTATTGCAGTTCATTTATAAAGTTTTCATGACACAAAATATGCAAAATCATATATTTGCATCTTTTCTATCAAAAGATTGTTAACATTATGAAAGTCTTCCTTGTATCATAAGGTATGTTTGATGTGAAATCAATAATATGCATTAGGAAAATGAAAATTCCATTTTATCCATGTTATTAATATTGTTCCTTATAGTTTAAGACGTGTTTTCATTTCTTAAGTATATACTTTCTTTATATATTTAATTTAGTTTAATTTTTTTTGAATAAGGATTTGCATATAATTGTTCTTACTTGTCCAGTTGTCCCTTACTTATTCACATCCACGAAGTTATGCCCTGACAAAAATAGATATGTGCACAGTCAAAGTACCACATGCGCCGTCAAAGTACCACGTGCGCCGTCAATTTTGTACATAGTTGTACCTAATTGTCCAGTTGTCCAAAATGCTTCATAGTTGTCCTTTGGCGATTTTAGCATTTTTTCAGTTGTCCTATAATATAAATTATTATTTTGTGGTTGTCCACATGATTTTCGACTATTGCAGTTCATTTACAAGGTTTTCATGACACAAATTATGCAAAATCATATATTTGCATCTTTTCCATCAAAAGATTGTCAACATTATGAAATTCTTCCTTGTATCATAAGGTATGTTTGATGTGAAATCAATAATATGTATTAAGAAAATAAAATTTTCAATTTATCCATGTTATTAATATTGTTCTTTATAGTTTAAGATGTGTTTGCATTTCTTAAGTATATACATTCTTTACATATTTAATTTAGTTTAATTATTATTATTTTTTTAAATTAAGGATTTGCATATAATTGTCCTTACTTGTCCAGTTGTCCCTTACTTATTCACATCCACGAAGCTATGCCCCGACAAAAATAGATATGTGCGCAGTCAAAGTACCACGTGCGCCGTCAATGTTGTACATCGTTGTACCCAATTGTCTAGTTGTCCAAAATTCTCCATAGTTTTCCTTTGGATATTTTAGCATTTTTCAGTTGTCCTTTAATATAAATTATTATTTTATAGTTGTCCACATGATTTTCGACTATTACAGTTTATTTACAAGGTTTTCATGACACAAATTATGCAAAATCATATATTTGCATCTTTTCCATAAAAAAATTGTTAACATTATGAAAGTCTTCCTTGTATCATAAGCGATATTTGATGTGTAATCAATAATATGTATTAGAAAAATGATAATTTCATATTATTCATCTTTTAATTATATTCCTGAAAGCATTCTCAGCCAAAAATGAAATTCTCTAAACTAGATTGACTTTCCTAAGTGTTCTGATGCCTGTCAAAGTAATACGTGTATCTATGTGTGTAATCAATTTTGTACCTAATTGTCCACTTTTTTGAAAATCTTAATAGTTGTTCTTTTGAAATTTTAGTGTTTACATTGATTTTCGACTATTAATTTTTATTTACGAGATTTTTATAATATAATTGTGCAAAATCATATATTTTGCCTCTTTTATTTTATAAGGTAGTTAACAATATAACATAAATGAAATAAGTTATCTGCTCTAAATATGATGTATTAAATGATATAACATAGATTTTTGAAATCCATTAAACTTTTTCTGTGGTCGATGCTCATTATATCCTGAAAATAAAATAAAAGAATACTCATTTATCAATTATTCAAGTTATTTTAGTTATACACATTTGTACCAGTTGTCCTATATCTCCAAGTTGTACCACTTGTACTAGTTGTCTTCGATTTCATAGTTGTACCATTTGTACCAGTTGTCCTCCTCTGCATATTTGGTGATGAACTCTGATTCTAATTCTAATCTACCTAAAAATCACTACGATTCAACAACTATATTCGCCAAATTACCCATGCAAATACCTAATCTTCACATAAAACTGGGTTACCAACTCGATTTGTATACCGAACAAGCAATTTTCGCAAATTTTATCCCTAAAATTTTGAAATCCCCAAATTTCTAAATAAAAACCTCACTCAGTTTTGAAAAACTTCAACAATGGTGGAGGAGAGAGAAGAACAGAACAATAAATTGATCACAGAGGAGGAAGAAGAGGACGCCGCGGCGATGGCTACTGCGTAATGGGTTGAATCGCGATTTCGAATTCAAGCTCAAAGAAGAAACAGCTCGGGGAAGAAGAAAGCTCAAGAAAAAAAACCCAGAAATATCCAAATTAATTTAATATCCAAAAATTAATTAAAATAATTAAAATAATCAAAATCCACCAAAATCTTTTATGCCACAAAACTGATTCATTAAGAGTAAAATCGGAATTCTATATGTGTTATGGCATCTAGACTCATTTATGGCACCTCTGATCATTTGCTTCCAATTTATGGCAATTTAGCCATTAATTCGATTAGTACCTCAACACCATAACCTAATACTAATAAATACCCAAACAATTTTGATAGGTTAATCAGTACCTGAACTTATTAAAATTGGTAAATACATACCTCAACAATATTTTTGTTGCTAATTAGTACATTGACTTTCTCTCTGTTAGTCAAACATGTTAATTTGCAAATGGAATCCGACTCGGATGCCACGGTGGATGCTTTGTTCGAATGAAAACAATACAACGTCGTTTAAGGTTAAAAATCTGGACAAAAAAGCAAAAACGACGTCGTTTTAAATTTGTTATACATTAAAAATTAAACTATCTATATCTTTTTTGTCTTCTTCGTCCCTCTTCTTCGTCGACTTAAAACGGGGAAGAACATCAATAGTTGGGGTTTGGGTTGTGTTCGAAATCAAATCGGAATGACTTCATCATCGAATTCTAACGCTTCCTCGAAGATTCCAGGTAGGTTTAGGTTTGCAATTTTGATTTTGATTTTTATTCAAACACTTTCAAAAAATCAAATCGGAAATTTCAATTTTGATTTTTTTAAAATGTATAATAAATTTAAAACGACGTCATTTTTGTCTCTTTTTCCATATTTTTAATCTTAAATGACATCATATTGGTTTTATTCGAACATCGCATTCACCGTGGCATTTGAGTCGGATTCCGTTTGCAAATTAACATATTTGACAAACATAGAGAAAGTCAATGTACTAATTGGCCACAAAACATTGTTGAGGTATGTATTTACCGATTTTAATAAGTTCAGGTATTGATTAACCTATCAAAATTGTTTATGTATTTATTGGTACCAGATTATGGTGTTGAGGTACTAATCGGCTTTTTTCTTTATCTTATTATATAAATGTTTAAAAGTTATTAACCTAGAATCGTGACACTTGTGAAGTTAAAACAAAGTACCCAAATAGAGGGCGTGAGATCAAAAAGCATCTGACTAGCCACCTATCAACATTTTTCATTGTTGCCATCGACACCATCACCACCACCATCACCACTACTATCACCATCACCGTCACCATGTCACCACTAATATTATGATACCACTGTCATTATAATTGTTGCTATCACGAACACTTTCATCAGCTCCAGTTCACCCATCTTCAACTATCGTAAATAAATCAAAACATAAGATAGTAGTTAAATGGACTTTAACTAGGAATTAAACCACACGATGTGCGAGGTAATATTTTTTAAAATACTTTTGGTTAAATTAAAATTGGTGACAAAAATATTTTAGCATAAAATATAACTAAATAAAATTGGTGACAATTATATAACAATACATATATAAATATTACACAACCGATATTTACTTGTAAATAAATCATCGAATAAGACTTTGAACTAGTTTTGTTATGCGGTTTAGTTATTAGTAATTTTAAATGTAAAAGTGATATGTTACTTATATATATATTAATATGGATTAGAATCTAAATATATATATATATATATATATATATATATATATATATATATATATATATATCTCTATAAAACAAGAATTTAATTTTGAATATTATATTAAAGATCAAACTATCATTTTTAGTTAATGAATTCTATAATATGTGTTAATAATGATTATATACGATTATGAAAGTGGACAAACCCGTCTATTAAATCTATTTTACAATTTACTAAAATAATTTTCAACCAATCCGTAAAAATAATTAAATTAATTTTAGAAAATGATATTAATTAATTATGAAAATATAAATGAATTATTGCAAAAATTTAAATAATTTTTTCATATATATGGATTGATTATTATTTAAAATAATAAAATATATTTTAATATTTTAATAAGTAAAAAAACTAAATACACTTTTGATTTATACCCATACTAGATTTTACCTCGTGCGTCCGCACGGAAAATATTTTTTATTTAGGTAATATAATTTTTGTTTTTGTTTTTGTTCATATATAGACTTTTAAATAATTGATAAAAAAATTTCTGTTTAAATATAATTTGTTTCTATTGATTTATCTTTTCTAGTATTATATATGACCAAGATTAGAAAAATATTATT